GGGAGGCAGGTAAGGCCTGTCACTATAGGTTCTGGAGATCATTCCATCCTTGGTCAAACCGGGTTCTCCATAGCACATGCCCTTAGGAGGCGTAAGCTCTTCGATGTGCAGGTTAAGGTACACGCGCACTTCCTTAACAAACTGCTCCAGCGTAATAGGAATACCATCCGCCTTATCGATGGTCAAAGCAGGCGGTGGCTTGTACTGCTCATGTTCTTCATAACGTATGTCTTCCCTTTTCTAGCAGTCGCCACATATTACCTCGTCGATGCGGCTGAATGGTGGATCGGCGATGGACTCGTTGGTCAGGTGGTGATCAAAGATGTGGACGCCGGTTGTCGCATCGAGAGGTCCTGTTCGGATTTTGATGTCGTCCAGAGGAGCTGTGACGTTCTAGCGCAGTCGATACAACAGGTCTTCACGAACGCGGTTTTGCAGACTGATGTGTTCAGGTCTCGCGGCCACGTTCATGGATTTGGAAGACGGTGGATTGAAGTTTTGTTGGACTAATAGTAGCATGCGAGGAAAGGTGTGCGGCACAGTTTAACATTAACAATCACCTCTGTCGCCAGCCAAGCCGCTTGTGACGAAAGGTCAGCTTGGCAGCACTAACTACTTCTGAAGCGAGCGAAAGCAAATGTTTAAACACTGACTCTCCCCTCAAAATGCCCATTGCTCCAACCACTTCCTAATCACCTCCGCATCAACAGCCCTCCCCTCACGCAATGTCGCACTCACAGACTCTGTCCTCCTCGTATCCAACGCCGGCAATCCAATCGATTCCGGTCTGAGACTCTGGTAAAAGTCCAACAACTTGAGCCCAGGGACGCGCTCTGCATTCTCCTTCGTCTGCGGGATACGCGCCAGTTCATCGACCCAGTCGTTGAACTCCACAATCTCCATGTCGTCCTTGTTGTTCTGGGTGAAGAACTGCCGTATGACGGGGTACAGCTTGTCCCAAGTAGTGGTGTGCGGATTGACGAGATGGTATACCTGCACAGGCTCGGGTTCTGAGATAGTAGCGTTGGCGATGTCGATGACAGTTCCAGCTGCAACGTCCATGGGCACCCAGTCCACTCGGTCCATGTTACCAAGTGTCCGCGGCAGCTTCTTCAAGACCTTACTGGTGTGGACAATAGTCGGCAGCCACTCGTGGCGGTTCCACGCTGCACCACCCGCGTCGGTACTCGGTCCTGCGAGCTGTCCCGCACGCACGATAGCCGTCTTGATGCCCAAGCGATGCGAGGCCGTGGCTAGGATCTCAGATGCGACATACTTGGATTCGCTGTAGCCCTGGGGTATCGTGATTGCGCTGTCGAAGAGCGTGGCGATGGACTCTGGAACGGCGGATCCGTCTTGTACGACGCTTTTCCAGTCGCTTACACTGGCGATCGAGGAGATGAAGATGATGGGTGTCTTGTGACGCGAGGCAAACGCGAAGTTTATGGCGCGGTAGGTGCCGGCTACGTGTGTGGCCTCGTAGGATTCGAGCGAGAGGTTGAAGTCGACAGACCAAGCTGCGTGAATGAATGATGTAGCAGTGGTCAGAAGACGCTCGTATGTAGCGTCTGAAAGCCCGAAGTGGTCGGCACTGAAGTCTGTCTTGAGGAACTCGGCCTTGCTGAAGTCGGCGTTTGGGTCGTGATAGCGGGTGAAAGACTCCTTCTGTCGTACTTCGGCGTTGTCCGAACGGTTTAGGCAATAGACCCTCTCGACCTCTGGGTTTCGAAGCAGTTGCTCCAACATGTGACTGCCCAAACTACCCGTTGAGCCGGTGAGAATCACAGTCTGTTTCTGTGGACGAGGAGCCGCACTAGTCATGCTCTTTGGTCGAACCATATCTTTGGTGTACTTCCTGACCATCGCGCTGAGCTTCTCCTCTCGGGTCGGCGGCAAGCTTGCCTGGAAGGGCGAGTTGCTCACGGTCTGAGATAACGCCGCGGCCAGCTGCTTGACCGAAGGATTGCTGTAGATCATCGATGAGGTCACTTCAGCACCACGGACGGCCTTGTTGAGCGCGTTGGTGAGTGCGAGCACATCAAGGGAATCGACACCCAGGCTGAATATCTCAACATCATCTGCCACGTCGTCCTGGAATGAGGGAAGATTGCGTGTGAAGACAGCACGAATCTTGCTTGCCAATGCAACATCGCCATCAGCATCCTGGGTCGGGTCGCTCGAGTATCCTTCATCCGCATAAAGGGCTTCAATCTCGTCTTTGAACGCGGCAACGGTTTGGAGACGTATGGTTGAGCCCTTGCCGGCGCGGATGAAAGGCTTCTGGTCTTTCGCAACGGCGACCTTCGTCTGATAGATCCGGGCGTGCGCGGGCGCTTCACGGTTTGCTTGCTCTACCATCGGCCAGATGTGATCGATCAAGGCAGAGGGGTCTTGCGTGCCGGCTCGCGACCACTCTGGTTCGATGAGTAGACCGGCCTGAAACTTGCCTGAGCCAACGACTAGAGCACCCTTGACCCACGGATGCGACTCGAGCAGCTTCTCAGTGCTTACAGGGTTGAACTTTTCGCCATTGCTCAAAACGATAATGTCGTCTCGTCTTCCACTGTACTTCCACAGATGAGGCTTCAATGGATGGCGACTGAACAGATCCTTGGTGCGCCATTCGGATATCTCTGGAAAGGTATGGAAAACTGCCTGGTATCTCGTGTCTTTGGGTTTGATGACCATTTCGTGCAAGTCGTCACCAGCAGGCTCCATGACGACACCCGCAGCAGCACCCCAATGGAAGTAGCCCCACTCTTCTGGCTTGGATGGGAGCAGGGTGCTTATAAACATGGCTTCTGTACTGCCAAGGGTTGTCATCAAGTTCGTCACTTGACAAAGCTTGTCACCAGCCCCTGGACCGAGAGGCGCACCGCCAAAGAAAACGTACTTGAGCTTCCCCATTGTCTCGATACCTTTGGGCGTTGCAGCGATATCCTCCAGTACCGACGGTGGAAAGATACCACAATAAGGTTTTACCGCCTCGATCACGTCAATGACTAAGCCGGCGCTCAAGGGCTTGTCCGCTGGTAATCGTACGATGGTGCCACGGGACATGATAGATCGCAGCATAACGATTACTCCCATGCCATGGAAAAAGGGAGCGGCAGCAAGCATGGGCCGTGGATCTGCTAAGAAAGGCTTGCTGGTTTGCTCATGCCCATCTTCCGGACTGAGGTGCGCTTGTTCATACAACGTATTCAAACCACCAACAGTCTCGTAAATAGGCTTTGGGAGACCTAAAGTTGCTGTCAGTGGACCGGGACGACGTGAAGAGCAAAGTCGAATGAGATGATAGAATGCGTACCCGTTGAACCCGAAGTGTGCAGAATCAAGCTATGAGCGGTCACGTCACGATTTTGTCTTCCAGGGTAGTGCTCGGAGGGAAGACTTGGATCAACCAGCTCTTTGGTAGTGGGCGCCTCGTGGATCGTGAGACTGGGCACCGCCCCTTTGATTGCCTGAACCTGCGGCATCATATCGGCTGTGGTCAAGAAGATGGCGCAGTTTGTCTTCTCCACAAGTGACTTTTGACCATCGATCGAGTTCCGGGGCGATGTGAATAGCGGTACGTATCCTGTCTTCAGACATGCTGCTAGTACCACAAGATACCGTAAATCGTTCGCACTACGAATGCGTAAGTATGCATCATTGATGACCGACAAGCACAGAAGATTGCCCACTCACCCCATATAGCCGATTGTCTGGCCCACCCTTTCAGCAACACCACAGGTTCGCTCAATCCATCGCGACATGTTGTTCACTGCACGCGCAAGATCGGCGAATGTGACGTGGTGCCATCCTTCGTCCAGGCTGCTGCTTGAACGCGGGACTATAGCCCATGTTGAGTTAGGAACAGCCTCAGCTGCAGAGTCGATGTAATCGGCAACAGTATTCTGCTTTCCTCCTGTATGCTGCTTTTGATGTGTTGTTGCCATGGCTGAGATTATATATCGATGCCGAATGTGGATGGTGCGTTGTGTTTAGCGTTGTTTCCAGGACGCGGTCCGACAGGCAGCGAAGGGTGAGATAGCGTGTATCGATGGGTAATATACGCGAGTGTTGATTCTGATAGCTTTGAGTGATAACAAGATAGACCTTGGGTTCAGAATGAGATTGATGTCTTCTTTTCTGAGGGACTACGAGCTAGATATACTTCGGCGGGCGCTAGCAGGTAAGGTCGAAAGCTTATGCCAGCGAAGAGCGCGGTCTGGCGGAAGGCGGTGATGTTTCACCGGAAGCATGTCTTGTTGCCATGCCGAACGTTGTCCGAACAATTGCGGTGGAGCATGAGGCATGAAAGTTGCGCAACGTACAGCAGGGGGGCGGCTCGTTAGAATCATCCATGAAGAGTCTGTTCAGTTATATGGACGGAGGCCGATTCGATCTAGTCGCTGCAAGTGATTAATATCTTGTGTAAGATGCTACGCGTCATCACGAAGGGTTAGGATTAGTTGTAGTGGGCGAAGTTGTTGTGTATGGATGACGCAGTCATGGAGATCCCTGTGCCCATCACCTCGGCCGAGCGAGCGTTTTGATTATTGAGCGTGCCGTGAAGGTCGGATGCTGGCGGCTACCACTCAGGGCAAGTAACACACTCACAGGACAAGTAATATACTTTGTACGAACGGTTGTGAGACATTTACTGTCTTCGTACATCGAACTTTAGACTCGGCGCATTCAAGTATAAGCATCAAGAAGGAACGGCCCGATGAGCGCCACGAAGCTTGACTAAGCGCTATGATGGCGCAACCCCACCTGTGATAGATCCGAGCGATACGTGCGCGCTATCGGATATGTCCCTACATCCTCGTCGACCCACCTATGCACTTCAGCAAGCTCAGCCAGGGTTCATCGGCTTGGGATGTTGATATCACATTGCATCACGCTTTGCGCGAGAAACTGCCGAGACTGTCTTCCACAGAAAGATCGTATTACGGATGGTATCAAGTAGTCGGGTATCAAATAGAGCATCGAACGCCGTCTTATGCATCACCTCATCCAGCAGCAGGTACAACCCTTGGCGTTTCCTTTTCCTTCTCTCGCCTCTGCGAACCCTTCCTACGTCTTCGCTCCGGCTTGTACACATCGTTGAAGTTGATGTTGACAGCCAGCATCTTCAATTCACCGTCAGGCGAATGTACCAAGTCTCCGAGCAGGATGCTGATTCTCGCTCGGAAGTCTTCCGTCAACTGACTCAAACGCTTTTGTAGGGCTGGCAGAACATCATCTTCGGCCGAACCTGTCATGCCGATCTTGAGGAGTGGGGGTGGGAAAGGCGACTCGTCCTGGCGAGAAGCGGCGCGAGAGTGTGAGGGAGCAAAGGGATCTGAAGATGAGCGATCTTTTTCAGAAAGACCCCACCGACCTGCTGCTGTACGTGTCTCGATCTTGGCCGCGTGCTCTTGTCGGCGCGTAAACTCAGCGACTGAAAATGAGTACAATCCATCCACCGCATCCTTGTATGCCAGCATCGTCTTCAGCAACTCATGGAGCTGCCCTGTGAAGTCGATACTAGAGCTTCCGAGAAGACCTTTGCGCGTGATGTTGTTGAGGTATATCGCATGCGCTTCAATCATGTCATCCAGCGTGCTCTCCGGCTTGTTGAGGGCTCTCTGTAGATCGATCCATGATGACTCTATGACTTCGAAGAGGATGTAGTGTTGCAACTGGTTGACAAAGTGAACCATCTCAGCCATTGCGCAGCGTGCTTTCTTCCAATCCGCGCCGAGTTTATCGGCTACGGTGCCGAGAACACCACGCGCACCAGTCATGCATCTGCGCCATGTTGAGCCAAGTGCAAACTCGACGCGCTTGACGCGCCATAGGAAGTTGAAAACTTTGAGATATTGCTTGGAACCGAATGGCGTGACAATGACATCGACAGGCGCATCAATCTTATATTCCAGCGTAAAGACATCCCATCCAATCTCGCCATGTGATAGTTCCAACATGCGTGAGTCGAGGCGGCGCAGTACATCTGAGGTGTCAAATTGGGCGTTGGAGTTGCGAACGGCATGTTCGAGTTGAGCAGTGAGCGTGTGACGGTATTGCGTGTTGGCTGGTCGATCGAGGTTGGACGAGAGCGATTCCATCAGGACGGCAATGAAGTCGCCAGCGCCTAGCAACATGTACTGCTTGAGGGCCTGTAGATGATCGAACAGCTTGAACTTGTTACCCATCAGGTCAATAAGACGAGCCATGGTGGTCTTGTAGGCGTCGCCAATGGAACGCTCGAGATTCGCAGTGTCGCCATACTGCAGCTCCTTTGAGGCTTCTTTGGAGTACGTGTCGACCCATGCTGCGTCTCCACAGCCATAGCGAATGAAGTTGAGGGTTTTGCCGATGAGGAAGACCTTCTTGGCAAAGTCGTCGGTAACGATGGTGGGGACCATCTTGTCGTTCAGTCTGTATTTATCTTCCCAGACGCTCGTCGCGCCTCCTTTCCCCTCGTTGCCGTTCGCCTCGAGGATGTCATCCTCGCTCTGTTCCGAAACAAAGAATTCGCCAAAGGGATCGGCAAGCTCGCCGTCGTATACCCATTGCCGGAGCATGTCGTAGAAAGGTCGCGTGACATCGGAGAGAAGGCGCTCGGCAAAGTTCATGACGTACGGGTCGCCGTGGTTGAGGGAGAAGGAATGTATGAGGGCAATCAGCTCGCCGCCCTTCTTGCTTCTGGATTCTTCGACCATCAGGCTCATCAAGCGCAAACCCATGGTCGGTTCTCGTATCCAGATGACGCATCGCTTGAGGGTGACGCCGGCCTTGCTGACGCCCTGAGGTGTTGATGCCTCGTTCAGCTGTGCCAGCGCTCTCTTAATTTGTCCTTCCAAGGTCGCGACCAGACCCAGGTATGCTCTCAGCTCCTTGGCTAGAGCTGCGCGGAAGCTCTGCTCGATTAGGCCGCCATCGCTCGCCTCGACGAATTCGGCCAAGCCTTTGTACAGTATGGCGGGTTCAGCGAGGGTGTGTAAGAGGCTGACGATGGGTACCGGGAGGGTCGTGGGAAGCTTGAGGGCGGTCGACGAGAGGAATGCGAGGTTCGTCGATGAATAGCCCTGGAGTGTGAAAGGCAGCTCTCGCAGCAAAGTCGGCTCCGAGGGCCCTGTCTCTGCCTTTTCGACATGTCCACCATTGGCTTGCTGCTGCTCCTTGGCGGTGTCAGGCCGTCTGCGCTTCTCTGGCTTCTCAGCTATCGAAGCTGGACGTGTAGATGTCGGTGCTTTGGGCGATCCGGCATTGACAGGCAGCTGGGCGAGGCCGGGCTTTGCAAAGGCGTCTTGGATGGCGTGGGAAGAGGCGGCCACGCTCTGGCGCTTGGAAGGCGTCGTGGGTTCGCGCGAGAAGCTGCGGGTATCCTGGGCGGGCGGCGGCTCGTGGGGGGCTTCGGCGTTGTCGGAGAGGTTGTAGAGAAAGTAGAGCATGCGCCATTTCTGGTCGAGGACGCTCTGGGTCTCAAGGCGCGAGAGAAGGTTGTGCAGACGCGCGCTCTTGCGCTGGTCATTGTTGGGGCCCGAGACTGTCACATGTTAGCAAAAGACACGTGATTCACCTCGTTGTATTTACCCTTGCGGTCTATGAGGCTGGCAATGTGCTGGACGTCGGGAACGAGTGAAGCATCGCCCGCAGTCGTGAGCTCGTCGAGGGCAAACTCGTAGGCATCTTCGAAGCGCTGGTTGGCCTCGTCTTCGTTCTCATTTGGGTCTTCGGGCACGATGCGGACGAGCAGCTCGTTCAACGCGTGTTCGACGCGCTCGCGGTGTAGTGTGGCCATGATGGCGCCCTGTTTAGTCGCGAGTCCATTGGTGTTGACCTCGGCGGGGTTGACGCCCGCCCGTGCGCGTCGCCAACCTCGAGCCAACGCGTCACCCTTCACTTGTCACTTCCAAAGCTGGCCACAACGCTTGTCGTATCCTACACGAACGGCCATTTTGATCTCTAATTACTTGCTAAGATATAATAGCGTGCATGCAGCAATTGCATATCGCGACACAGATTCGAGCCAGATTTGGTGTCACCCGTCACCCGTGGTTTGCACATTGAACGCATCAGCGTTTGCAATCAGGTAGAGGGGTATCGGTGTCGTTATGGATCTCTTATTTGATCTATGGTGCGAAATGGCTACGAGCATTTCCCCTATACGCTATCCTCATCATCCGCACACCGGAGTAGAACTTCTATGACCAGCCTGGACCAAGACCAGGACCAAGCCCCAGTCTGAGTCAAAGACGCATTACTCTTAGTTGACTACAAACATTCACATCTTGGTTCATTCGGCCACAGATCTTACGATACGCCTTCGCACCACTGCACTTCCGAGCACACAGAAGAGGTAGCCGACGTAAGTCCTGACTAGAATCCGACGCCGCCAGCCACCGATATGGGCACCATGGAGAAGGAAACCGTTCATTCCTCAAGACGGCCCAAGCTCCTCACCTACGAGGAGATCCAAGAGTGGTCGCGAGACAACGAGTTCATTCATACCGGCTATCGCCCAGAGAAGCCCGAATACAAGGCCATCTTCCTCAGCCTGACCTACCTACACAACGAGACCTGCAACATATATACCCACTTGATCGGCGCGATACTGGTATGGCCTGTCGCATACATCTACATGCGGATTCTGGCCGAGCCCCAGTATAACAACGTGCTACCGGCAGACTGGGTCATGTTCACCGTCTTCTTCTTCTCTTGCGAGTTTTGTCTGCTCTCCAGCGCCGTGTATCACCTAATGCAACCCCACTCGCATAAGGTGGAACAGTTGTGGCATGTGATGGATCTGACTGGGATTGCTGTCATCATCGCTGGCACATTCGTTGCGGCTATCTACTACTTCTTCATTTGTCAACCCGCCTTCCAGATCATGCACTGGGTCATTGTGAGTCACCCTGCGCAAACCGGTCTGTTGTATGCTGATACGTTCTCCAGACCATAGTCTCCGGCTCGGCTAGCGTTGCTCTGATATCGATACCGAAGTTTAGAACGCTGCGCTGGCGCACTCTGAGGGTGGTCGCCTTCTTCCTCTTCGGTCTGTCAGCCTTCGTTCCTCTACTTCATGGCGTCGGTCTTCACGGGTCCAAGTACATGTTCGATTACATGGGAATGAAGTGGTATCTAATCGAGCTTTCGCTGTATGCAACTGGCACTCTAATATTCGCAGTAAGTGGGGTCGTTTACTCATGGGCTTGGAGGGACATTTGAACTGACCAACAAGTGCAGACTCGACCTCCTGAAAGGTTCGCTCCGGGCAAGTTCGACTTTTTCGGCTCCTCACATCAGATCTTTCACCTCCTCATCTTGGCCGCCATGTGGGTAAACTGTCTGGCTCTTACACAGAGTTTCCGATCGGTTCATACGTTAGATTTGTGCCGCCGCTAGTCATGAATGCACATAGCAACACGACTTTCTCGTTCTGTATACTGCAAAAGGATGGGAACTCGGACAGCTTATAACCTTACGAGCGCTAAATGAGCTTAGGATGTGGGGTTTAGGCTTCCCGTGTCTAGTGATGATAATTGTTTGGATGGGAGTTACACCTGATGACAGTCACAATGGATGCGACAAGATGAATGTTATTCCGCATACACGGGCGCAAGTATGTAGAACACCAAGAGTCTACTAACTCTTATCTGAGAGGCCAAGAGTGCGCTATCATCTGGCACAGTCCCACATTTCTCTTACCGGATTGCGTTTCTACAATTTCTGTATGCGTAGACGCATGTTCTACAAAAAAAAAGGTTGCTAAGGGACGTGGTTGAACAAGGTGAGGTCGGTATGCAAGCAGTACGAATCAAGAAGAAGGTGCCAAAACACACAACAACGTTGGTTTGCTGATACTTAGCAACGTAGATGCTACCCGGCTTTTGTACCGCTTGTATAAGGCTGGTATCACCACGCATATCGCTGGAATGATCGCTCTTACTATTGCGCAGCTCAAAATTTCATGTCATCAACAACAAAGCATTACCAATTAGATGCATATGCGTTGTGGTTGGGGTCTGAAAGTGGTCCAATAGCTTCTGACGGCTAAGCGCTTCACTCACTGAGTGAGTCATTAAGCCTGAATACTCGCTAATTTCCTTTTTCGGTCGAGATGTCGATGCATCACCACCAATGTAATGGACATCATGACCACCTCATGCCGACAGCTGCAAATCGGGACGTGTCCTCGGCTCGGATGCTTCCGGCTCCTGAACTCGCGGGCGGTCCACAGTCTCTAATGCTCGCACTCAGGTGTCGCGTAAGTCATAGAGCGCCATTAAACGTCTTTTGAGGATCTCTGGCTCAGTCTTTCTGGCTGCGCCATTGTGTTCATAATATCACAGTCCATGGGCGTTGATGTCGGGCACGTTGCTTCAACATACGCTTTCATCTGAATGCCGCAAATAGATTTACGGCCTGATGCTATTTGATCATCGCTGCATGAAAATCATCGACAGAAATTCAGAGCGATACGCTGAAGCCCAAGGTTTCATAGGGTCAGATCAAGGAGAGATGCATTGGCTTGTACGACTCGAGAAGAGCCTAGAATCTCACCGCCGCCTAGCTACAACATCGCGACCCATGCCTGACATTCTCGCCCCCACACTCCGGTGGACTTTAGAATGGCGGTGAAAGAACTTTGCCATAATGGGTAATACGAGTCTCTTCCTTCTTTCAGAGCCCGATTCACGCATCGGACATCTTCAACATGGCGCGAAACAATCCGACTCCAGTTGGCCTCATGTCAAAGGACGCTCCTAAAGACTCTAAAGACAACAACTCCATGGTATCAATCGAGGGGGAGGGCGAAGAAAAAAAGGAGAAGAAGTGGCTGGGTTCGTCACAAGCTTCAGATTTGCGGCGTAATTTCGAGAAGTTCAGGGATAAAAGCTCTGATCAGCTGAACGTGTTCACGGCTGGGGCTGGCTGGTCGACCGATCCACTCTGCACAACGTGTAAGATGATACCATTCAAGGAGTGCCTACCAGGCGCCGCCGAGGACGATGGTAACAGACCAACACAGGATGCGATCATATCCTACGCAAGCCTTTCAGTCATACTAGCCAATAGCTCGTGGTGCAAACTCTGTAAGCTCCTCTTTCAGAGCATTTGCCAGCCGGAGTACGATTTGCTGAAGGCACCACATATCAAGAACCATCTTCCAGATAACAATACGTACAAAGACATTAGAGATGTCGAAGATTGGACCCAGCGATTCAAGTACTGGAAACGAGATTCGCTGGGAGATGATATCGGGCTGTGGCCATTTGGATACGCTATCAGCCAAGACCAAGCTACGAGCTCAACACTGCAGCAAGCGAGAACGCTCTTTCTAGAGGCGGAAGATCACGACATCAACACCAGGAGCCTCAATATGAACGAGCTTGAAGCTATGTACAAGTCTGGAGACACGGTAGCCGACACAATGGTTGCAGCTAACACAGGCCTCGCGATCGCTAATCTCATCACCAACGAGAAAAGCGAGGAAGTGCAGAAAGCAATGGCGGTCACTCAATTGCTGACAAGGCACTTCGCCTTCTTACAACTCAAGAAGAACAAGCGACTGCCGTGCATTTTTATGCTCAGAGCATATCGAAAAGACGAAGAGAAAAGAGGAGCCCTGAGCGTACGTGTCTATGGGCACGGACGAGCAGCCCTCGCGCCTTTGAAAGAGATATGCCATTTCAGTCTGCGGTTCGAAAGTTCCACCACCCCGCGGAAGGAAAAGCAGCAAATTTGGTATGGGCGAATGCTTGGCGATCGAATCGATGTCCCGTTCTTCAAGCACTGCGTTGAGGCTTGCACGTTGACGCACGATTGTGGGGCATTGTTGTATGATCCACTCGATGAGTCTATATCAAATCCAGAGTGTGATGAGGCCGCCATATTTCGACTGGTTGACGTGGATAAGATGTGTATCACGGAGATGAACTTCTCTGCCGTAGTTCGCCTACGCTCCGAACTGAGGTACGTAGCTTTGAGCTACAGATGGGGAAGTCTACCATTACCGAAAGGCTGGAAAGAGTACACAAACGATCAAGGGCGGCCATACTATTACAAAGGCGAAACGAATGAAACATCATGGGATCGCCCGACGTCATTTATACGCCTGACATCACGCAACAAAGTCGACTTGTCCAGAGAGCATAGTCTCAAAGCCAGATGGGCGAATGTTCCCAAAACCATCAAACATGCCATCGAGGTCGTACAAGCTATCGGCGAAAGCTTTTTGTGGGTCGATCAGCTCTGCGTCCCTCAAGAGGGTGATGAGCACGTCAAGCACGCCAACATCCAGCGTATGGGTCACGTATACAACCGTGCCCTTTTCACCATCGTTGCTGGAGACAGCTCGCACGCCGACGAGGGGTTGAGCGGACTCTATGGTCATCCCGATCGTGGGAAACAGGTCAAGGAAGACGCAATCATCAAGAACACACCGATGGTTCTGCCCACGCGCATGGAGCTAAATTACGGAGCTTGGGAAGAGCGGGCGTGGTGTTTCCAAGAGAAGCTACTTTCTAGGAGGATGTTAGTCTTTGCAGGTGGATTTGCAGTGTGGCATTGTCGAGGAGGTACATGGAGGGAGGATGTCAATGCACTGGACGGAGATAAGTCGTTGATCACGTTTCCGTGGCTGAGACTAACACCCTCACGATCGCCTAACCATGACACATCGCCAGAAGGATTGAGGACTTCACGAGAGGATGGTAGTGTAAGACTTACGAGACTACAGTCGATGCACCAGTATATCGAGGCAGTAGAAGATCTTGGCGGAAGGACCATAGGGAAGACTTGCGACATCCTCAGTGCGTTCGATGGCCTCGCAAACATCCTTGGTGGCCCAGGCTTTCTCAACTCACCATTTCGAAACGGGTTACCATGCCACTTCCTGGATGTATCACTCTTGTGGCACTCAGATGAGCCTATACGCCGCCGCCGAGACGACTTCAACGGAAAAGGTCCGCCGAGCTGGACGTGGGCAGGCTGGGAAGCTGTACAGGACCCATTGAGGTTCGAAAGTAAAGTCGCACGAGTTCGCTACGACCAGCCATTCGACATCTTGGTCTTAAACTCCGGCATCGTCCAGCAGTACTGTACGCTCGGGGAAGAGCGCATACGTCCTCGGAAAGGCACATTATACGGCGTCCAGAAGAAGCTGAAAGGTTTCTCCCTGCAAGAACTGGGGCTGTTTGGCATGCCAACCATGAGTGCTAGAGGACATGGGGATTGGGACTCAGCGGACGCCAAACCAGCACCAAAGCCGAGACTGGGCATACCACTACATGAGCTGAAAGAGCGACATCTTATAATGAACACGGAGTCAGTGAGCCTGGACTTAGCTAGCGAGCTCTGGAAAGTCCAGACAACGACTAAACGCGATGATAAAGAGCACTGCATCATCAAGTTTTACGACACGAAACCCACGGAACCGGCACTGAAAGCAGAGGAGGTAACCCAGACAGATCTGCAGATCAAGACAGTAGTGTCTCGAGAACACTGGATCAAGACCACAACGCATCTCAGAGCCGGTACCGTGAAGTTCGATACTGCCTATGATGCAAATCGCGCAACTTCCGTAACTGCGATCCTGTTGTCGGAAGCGCAGTACCTGGGTAACGAAACAAGGCCAGACGTTCTAGGCTATCCGCTCTACAACATCATGCTCGTAGAGACAGTAGAAGTAAGAAGTGGTGTAAGATTCATGGAACGTATAGGCCTTGGTAAGGTATACAAACATGCCTGGAGAGAAGCACGGGCGAAAAAGGAAGTGATTATTTTAGAGTAACGCAGACGATCGTCGCTCGCCGCTCGTCGGTCGTGTGAGAAGTCATCGATGTTCTGATTGGAATGGCATATTGGGAATGGGTGCCTCCCATTGTTTCCACAGGATTTCTCTTACCCAAGCTTCGGTAGTCTAGCAAATACACTAGTTAGACACAGATACTGGGCGACGCATACACAAGCTAAATTTCCAAGTTATCAGCGGTTTGTACTCGCGCCATAGGCATGGTCGTTAGCCAAGGAAACCTCGTAGGCGTCTTGCAGGCGGCGGTCTTACCAATGTAGACATGCAGACGCTAGGGTTATGGCAGACAGCTGGACGTGCGGGTTATGCACACTGTCATCCGTCATTGTTCACGCTGTCCTATATGTAAGTTGACGCGAAATGGTAAAAAGGAAGGTAAGGGGTATCTGGTGGGTCCCACCGATTCGGCACGTCGCCGATCTGGGGCAAAAAGAAGATTTTTCCAAAAACATACAACAGTATAGTATAATAACTTTTAGCTATCTTATTAACTATTTAATAAAGTATACTTACTAGTACTACTACTACTACTTAAGCTTTTAGTATTAAAACTTCTATTTAGTTATTTAGTTAATACTTATCTTCTATACTAATTTAAAAACTAGCTAAATTAGTAGTAATAATAATATAATAATAATTACTTATTTACTAATAGTACTCTAGTATTAACCTAGTGCTATAATCTAAAGAACTATTAGTTATTAGTTTTAGTATTTTATTAAAAATAAACTTTAACTACTTTACTAGTTATAAATTAGAATAAGTAAAAGTTTATTATAATTTCTATATAAACCTTTTTTTCTATAGCTTTAACTTTTCTAAACTAATTTAACTAGCTAAAAGTCTATTTACTAATTACTAAGACTAAAAGTTAAAGCTTTTAATATTTTCTAATTCTATTTTTTAGCTACTTTAGTAAGTACTTTAAGTATAAGTAAATACTAATTAACTTTTTTTTTTTTTTTTTTTTTTTATAAGCTTTAAGCTTATTTACTAAAAATATATTATTAAAATTATTAATTTTAAACTTTTTCTATTTTAGCTTATAGCTACTTTATATATTACTAAATTTTAAAGTTTTTAAAAATTAACTTTTAATACTTTAGCTTTTATTTTAATTATAAATTACTTAAAACTAAAGTTTTTTAGTTATAAGTTTTTATTTAGTACTTTAAGCCTAATTTAGAGTTATCTTTATAGTAAAAAGATATTAAAAGATATTAAAAAGTGTTAAAAGACTCTAAGCTAGTCTCTTTTAGAACTACTAGAATAATTTTAATATTAATTTAGAATATATTACTATTAGTAATAAAGTTATTACTAGTTTATAGACTAACTCTATACTTACTTATATAACTTTTTAGTTTATACTATAACTAGAAATAACTAGAAATAATATAATATATAGTAATAAGTATACTACTAATAGAACTTACTATATTTATTCTCTATTAACTATAACTATAATATTATTTCTATCTACTAATAACTATAATATAATAACTATTTTTTATACTTTTACTAGTCTTAGTAAAACTCTAATACTACTACTATTTATATAATAGTATTTACTTACTAAAGATAACTTATAAATATATTTTTATTTTTATTTTATTTTTATTACTCTTTTTAAGAATTTCTTTTAATATAGTTTACTACTAGTAAATATAACTTTCTATTACTTTACTTAAATATAGCTTTACTTCTATTTTAATTATATATATAGTAAAGTAAATATAGATAGTATTTTAACTTTAGAGAGAGTACTTAATTATTAGTATACCTAAAATAGGCTTTTTTAAAATTTTAGTAATATATAGATCTTTAGCTACTAAGTATTTTATAATATAAAAATTTAGCGTATAAAAGAACTATTCTATTTTATTAATAAAATTCTTAAATATAAAGTTTTAGTAAAAAATAATAGTAAAATTTATTTACTTTAAATACTTATAAGAAACGTATATAACGTAGTAGCTATTAATAGTTCTAGTAAAAACTATATTATTAGTAAAATATACTTTAAAAGTATAAATAATAGTAGTAGTTATAAAAATAATAAAAAAAGTTATAAGATTTACTATAATACTATCTTTTATAATAATCTTAAGAGAATCTATATAGTAATAGTAATATAATTTAGAGGTAAGTAATTAAAGTAGATTAATAATAAAATAATTTAGTTAAGTATTAGTAAGATAGCGTAATATAACTAGTAATAAGATTAGTTTTAGATTAACTTATAATTACTTTAGAAACTTATAAAAGAGTTATTTAAATAGTATAGCTTTTAGTATTAGCTTTAAGTTACTATTAGTATTTTTAATATATTTTTAAAGTTTTAAAAGTTATAGAAATTTAAAGAATAAAAGAAGTATACTTTTACTAAGATTTTAGTATATATATTCTAACTATAAACCTTTAGAATATATTACTTTATTAGTTATAAGCTAATAAGTATATATAATTATATTATAATTCTTTTAGAAATTAGTATTAAAATTCTCTTATAGAGTACTTTAGTATTAGAATAGCTTTATAGCTAGCCTAAATTTAAAAGCTTTAACTACTTTAGAAGTAGTAGCGCTAAGGCTTTAAGCTTTAGTTTATTTACTTTTAGAGTACTAAAACCTTTAGTTATATATTCTTTAGTATACTAGTAATAGATCTTACTTTTTTAGAACTAGTTTATAGGCTATAGAATTATTAGTTTACTAATAAAATAAGTTTTTATTAGTTTAGCTTTTACTTAAATTACTAATTTCTTAATTTTAAAGTTTTAAGTTATAAGCTTTTACTACTTTAGCTTTTACTTAAACTAATTATTACTTAATATTAATATTTCTAGTTATAAGCTTTTTTTAGTTTAGCTTTTACTTAAACTACTAACTACTTAATACTAGAGTTTTTAGTTATAAACTTTTACTACTTTAGTTTTTAGCTAGTTTAGTTATTACTTAATATTATAGTAATTAATTATTAACTTTTATTACTTTAGCTTTTACTTAGTTTACTAATTACTTAATTTTAAAAAGTTTTTTTATTAACTTTTACTACTTTAGCTTTAAGTAAGTTTACTTATTAGATAATATTAAAGTTTTTAATAATAAATCTTTACTACTTTAGCTTTTAGCTAGTTTATATATTACTTAATAGTAAAGCTTTTTATATTTAACTTTTACTACTTTAGTCTTTACTTAGTTTACTAATTTCTTAATATTATATAAAGTAATAGTCTACTTTTACTACTTTAGCTTTTAGTTACTTTACTTTTATTTAAAAATAATAGCTTTATCTTTTAAATTACTTTTATTTAAAAATAATAGCTTTATCTTTTAAATTACTTTTATTATAGCTAATAGCTATTTTACTTATATATAAAGTTAAAAGATTTTACATTTTAAGTTTTAGTAGTTTAATACTTTTTATTTTAGTAATTATATATATTTAAAGTTCTAACTTTTTAAAAAGTTTTATTTTATTTTTTAGTAAAACTTTTATTTATTTAAAGTTAAACTTTATACTTTTAAACTTTTAGTATTTTAGTTATTAGCTACTTTACTAACTTTAAAAATTAAACTATTTTATTTTTATATTTTTACTATAATAGCTTTTTACTAATATATTAATAGCTTTTATTTAAAACTTTAATATTTATATTTTTTCTATTATAGTTTTTAGCTATTTTATTAATTACTTATATAAAAGGTTTTACTTTTATTACTTTTACTATTTAAGCTTTTAGAATATTTAGTAAAATTATAATTTTAAAAGTATTATTTTTATTTAATTACTATTTTAGCTTTTAGTTAATAAAGAAATCTTAGCTTTTATATAACTATAGTACTTTACTTTTACTATACTATAAAAACTCTACTTTACTAATTATTATAAAAAGATTTTTCTTAAAATAGATATTAAGTATTTTAAAGTTTTGCTAATATATAGATATTTATATTCTACTACTTCTAATATCTAGAAATATCTAGAGTAGTAAATAGGTATATTAGAAATTTAAATAATATAATGCTTAGAGTTTACGCAAATTACTAGGTTAGTAATTTACTATTCTAGTAATTTTATAACTACTAAACTAATCTATTTACTAATTACGTAGTTAACTACTACTTATTAGATTAGTATATCTTAAAGTATAAGCGTATTACTATATTTACAAGGTATAGTAGTTTTATTACTTACGTACCTAGGTATTTATATTATTACTATCTGTAGTAAAAGAGTATAAACTATTCTAATATTCTTATCTACTACTAATAGGTTTACATTCTAAATTATATCTAAAATAGTAAACTAAGTCTTTAAAACAGTTATAAATCTAATCTATTATCTTATTACTATAGGTCTATTAATATAGTAGCCTTTACTTTTATCTTTCTATAATTTGCTCTATATTAATTCTTATACTATACACTAAGCTCTAGCCTTACTCTTATTAAATTTAAAGCTATTAGATATATTACTACTTTAGAAGACTAGCAGCGTTAAATAATAGTAGGTCTAGACTTATCTATATGTATACACTAGACGAATAGCGTCTATTAGTTTAATATTTAGTCTTAGGCGGCTAACATAACTTTATTCTAACCTAATAACACTAGAATCTAACACAGCATCTACATAGCGTTTGTTACTACTACCTAACTACTAATCTACTAGTATAATGCTTGTATATAGCTAAGTAGATAGAAAGCCTAATTCTTATTATTCTATAGTTGTATATAGAAGATAGAGCAGTATAATTAAATATAAATTAAGTGTACAGGTCGGGAAGAGAACAGCTAAACTAGCCCCACTATTAAGACCTACGCATTCTTAAGCATACTAGCAACACTAGCGCAAGACTCTAAAACAGTTACTAGGTTAATACAATATATAATCACGCGCTGTAGCTCTCTATATACAGTAGCCTTCTCTCTCATCGCTCCTCTATGATTTGCTGTGCTTTCGTTCCTACACGATACACTGGACTCTATGCTCACTTCTATTAATGTCTAAGCGATCGGAAAAGCACCATGCATCGCATTCCCGGGACACTGGCAGCATCAAACAACGACGCGTCCAGAATCGTCGGTATGCTAGGTAAACGCCGGACAAATAGCGTCAGTCAGTTCAACAAATTCTCTGTGGGCGGCTAACAGAACTTCATCCCGACCTAGTGACGCCAGCGCCCAACGCAGCATCTACATGGCCTTCGTCGTTGCTACCCGGTGGTGAGACGCTACGATCCGACACAGCATCTACGTCACGCACCCCATCGCCATCCATTACGGGCGTATACCCAGGGCCCAAACGAATAGGCTGCACCTTAACTTGCTTTTCCTCAACCAAGTCAATCCGCCATCGCATAGTTCCATCAACATCTCGAAACCATCCCATACGCGTCAACATCTTGTCCTCCTTGACTATAGCATCGAAGCCCTTCTCTCTGATAACGTCAAGCAAACGTTCGCTTCCAGCGATAAGAACCAGTACGTCGGCAATACATTCGATGTTGCGCATCATACCGCCGTAGTATTTTCTTTGCACGGATCCGAGGATGATGATGGTGATGATAAGCCAGATTAGGATGCTTGTGGCGATCCAGAACGCGACGAGATTCATCTGAAGCACTTCGACCTGGGTGCTTAATTCCGCTGTTGTTGTTGCACTGGTGTTGCGGACAATGTCTTCGAACTTTGGCGCTATGGAACCGTCAGGCATGTACTGGATTGGCATGTCGTCCATCGGGGCGTTGATTTTGAGCTCCATGCCTCTAGGTTGGTAGACATAACCGCCGGATTCGCGAGACAGGTTGCTGTTTACAAAGTGCTGAAAGAAGGTCGAGAAGACAGTTGAGGATGTTCTAGCCAAGACTTCCGGATCTAGTAGGGCGGTAGGATCAAATCCCACTTGTGCGTAAGCGGCGTACGACATGAAATCGAGATTAAGACCTGTTGTGTTATCTCGCATATTGAAGGCCCTGCCATCTGAATATTGAGGGTTGGGTCTTGGTGAGTTCTCGTATGTCCGGGGTGGACTCTTAGAGGAAGGCCCATCGATGTTTGCGGCATTCAAGAGCCATTGCACGAACAAGGGCCCGTAACTGTAGTGATCTATTAGATGGAACGAAACCAATGTTTGTAGTCTAACTCACCTAGTAGTTGTATTGATATTGTAGTCATAAGACTTGAAACTGCTAGCCCTCCATTCAGAGCTGTTGACCTCAAAGTCAGGGTCATGATGGATATTGAAATTGGTGTAACGAGCGTCTTCGTAAGGGTTACGCCATTGAGATGTATCAGACCAAGCGACATCCTCCCGAACAGGAATGTCAAGGATGCGGTAGTGCTGTACGACACCGGTTTTGGGCTCCACCGTAACTTCTGCTTGGCTCGACTCAAAGATAGGCATGCAGTTCAATGCCTGAATAGCAGGCGGCTCTGGGAATACAAACATGTATACATCCGGCTTACGGCGCATACCCGTGAGGAATCGTTCAATCTTTCCAGGGCCTCGGATCCATTTGACTGTAAAGTTTCCAGATGTACGATAATCGCGACTGTCTTCGGGGCCAGATACTTCCTCCCAATTCTCTGTCCAATAAGCAACTGCGGCTGGATTGTACGTTGCGCTTCCAGTGAGATTGGCGAAGCACGGTGGAATGCTGCCTTGGGTAGAAAGCCACGTCGTGGAATTGCGATCGTCAACGACTCGTGCTATCGTGAAATAGTTGTCTAGTCCGGTGATGTTACGTCCATATCCGTCGTTGTGCGACAGAAGCCACAGGCTCGTGTTTCTGGGCCACTCAACAGCACTGCATTCCAGGCGAGCACGAATCGCAGGTGTTTGGACTCTCAGGCTCTCCACGGAGCGGTCGCCCCTACCTGCTGCACTTTTGTTCTCAGCCGAGGCGAAGCCTTCCACATCAGAAGATACAGGCATAAAACTCCAATCATCTTGGCTCCATACTGGTTTTGGGCCCTCTAGCGCAGTATGTATGATCGCGGTGTACATCCAGTCTTTTGACAGGCTCTGCAGATTGTCCCACACCAAGTCGCCAAGGTCGCTCGAGAAACTTTTCTCGTCGATGGTGTAGTTGAACAGCCACGTAGGCTGATCTCTGTTTACCGATATTTGTTGCACGAATGGAACACTGCGCAGTTCCAATGCTAGGGGCATTTCCGAGGAAGTAGTCAAGACGCCATTACCCGAGTCAAAGAGAGCGGACATGGCGATTGTGACTTGATCACAGCTATTAGTTGTAGTTGCAGCTTAGTCTTGGAATGTGCACTTACGAGCTTGGAGGAGAAACGTCGTCATTGTAACAAGCGAGAGCAGCCAGTGTCGGTGCTTTAAAGCTTTCAACGATGCGAATAGCCAGAACCATGATAGATAGGATAATGCGATACCCTGAGAAGGACGCTTGGCATCATGTTGCATGCTAATGTAAGGTTGTACCGTCCTACAAGTGGTGTCAACGGACTCCCACCAGAGCGTGATAACAATAGCAAGCAAAGTCGGGATGACAGATAAGGGCGATACTGTGTTTGAATGACCGAGAAGCTTGATGTTGGCGCGATAGGTGAAGAAAGCCTGATGAAGTTCTGACCTCCGCGCGTAGACGTAAAGCACTACGATTCCAGCAAGAAGAGCAAGGATGTAAAGAATGAGAAAAGTCAGGTTTCGTAGTCGTAGCATGGGTAATACAGGTGCGATGTCATAGGACTGCACTCTTGTTTTTTCTGCCACATGTCAGAGAATACACCAACAGTTATGTAAGTACGTACTCTCATGATCGTCCTGGATGTTGGCCTCACTTTCTCGAAGCTTGCCATGCTTGGAATAGAAGACTTTTCTAGCAAGTTCTTCTTTCAATGTCTTTCTTGTGGCGAGGTCGAGTTTTGTGAAACCGCGCAACACTATCGCATCACCGCTGCCCCATATACTTGTACCCAACAGTGTACTGGGATCTTGGCTAATGCTGAGAGTTGTCTTAGTCTTCCGCGTCTCCCACAGGATGCCTAGAAAGAAGAAGCAACAAATGAGTAACAGAGCACATATAATGCAGGCGGCTTGCCCGCTGACTAGCACTGTCCGGACAGATCCAAGTCGATGACCAGCCGTAGAACGTTCTTCTAAAACTTCCGTGCGTTGCAGAGAACCACCAACAATTTCTGCGAAGAAGCGACGTCTAAATTGAGCAGCTACTACAGGCAGTTGAGAATCAGCCATCATTCGTGGGATACTGAAGTTGTATGGTTCACCCAAGATCGCCGCTGGGCCCGTAAAGGGAACATCATTTAAGTCGATCTCGATGTCAGACGTCTTGGTCTCGTGGGGGACGAAATCGCTCCATTTAATGTCCGTATAAGCCTTGCGTAGTTCGAGTAAGTCAAGGACGGTCGGGGGAACTGGCGTGCCAATTTGGTGGAAAAGATTCTCATCGAACTCGACGGACAATGTCCCTGATGAGGCTGTGGCACGAGCTGGGATGGTGGCCATGTTATGGCTTGTATGACATGCATATGCAAGCATCGTCATGTTTTGTAGGAATTTTTCGGTCGGCGTGATATCCTGCCTGGGCCACCACGGCGTACTCATCATAACAATCTCATTCTCGTGGCAGTGTTCATTCGATTGAACGATAGCATCTGACATGGGGTAGTCTTCCGATGTGATGTTGTTGATGTCGCTCCAGGAAATCCAATCCGTAGTAAGGGCGTGATACTCCACGTCGACAGTGAGGTTAAACTGGCAACCCTCATTGGACTCTAGGAGAACAGATGCTTGATAGAACTTTTTTTCAGGCTCTTCTTCCCATCCTTCGGGTGCATGCCGGAGATACATGTCCTTCTTCTTCATATCCAGTTTGGCGCAAACTAAATCGGCGTGGAAAACGGTCGTGTTTGCCTCCCAAGTTCCTGAATCTTGAACCTTGTAGTCCCAACGTGAGCCAGTATCAACTGAATCTTGTGGCCAGAACGGTAAGATGACAAAGTCGTCAGTAATCCAGGGGGAGGAGCTATAATTTTGGAATATCGCGCCCATAGTTCGCAGATACGTATCTCGCTCAGCTCGAGGTTGTAGCATCAATCCGTTGCGCATTTCTAGTCGTGCAAGTGTCTCCGGACTTGTTTGATGTATCTCTTTTGTTCTCAATAGTGCAGCAGACATCGGTGAGATTCCAAGTATGGCCAGAATATAGGTGCTGCATGAGAGGATTGTAACCCAATTCCATGATCCGCCATTTCTTCGCCTTTGGAATCCTCGAGTAAGAGTTGTCCACCATGGCTTAGCCTTTTCGAGTAAAGTATAACGGGCAACTGGGATACGTCCGTCTGTTTTGCCCATTCTTACAAAAGGTCCTGTCCGTTTGACAGCACCGAGTATGATTCCGGTCAATTGTGTATAGACGACAGCGATCAGCGTGGGTATGAACTTCCAGCCCGGCATTGCTGAATCCTCAGCACACAGCCCGTTGTTGTTATGTGAGTACCGATACAATGCAAACGTGATGGCTGCGCAGGAGATAGAAAACCCGGCAGCGGTGGTGATAAAGTGCCAGCGCAGCGCAAAAGGCATCCACTGTGGTTCTGAGTGTGTGTTAGAACGAGCAGTGCAAATAAAGCCATATGAATACTTTCGTTCGCCGCCAGGCTCCACGGAGCTTACACTAGAAACATTGGAGATTGATGCGCGATGAGATCTGTGAGTATTCGTTCTGGAATGCGCTGTCGATGTCAATGGTAGCAACTGCTGAGTTTCCATCTCGTGATGGCGGTTCCCTCCGGCTTGAAGCCCGACTCCACCATGGTGGCTTCCTCTGGTATTCTCCATAGCGCCTCAAGGATGCCAGAGCTTGAGAAGTTTGTGACGGTTCGTAGTCTAGTCAAATTGTTGGACCGTATCGTAAAATAAGTAAGGCTGAGGAGTAGGGATCGATGCATGCTGAACAGACCCCGGGAGGGTTGTTCTCGTTGGTCTCTTGCCGTCTGTAAGTAAGATGTGACGTTTCAGGCGGCCCGTGTCCGGAGCGCAGCCAGATGTAGTGATACAACAGGACTTGGTAAGCTCGGCTCTTGAAGCGGACCAATAGAGCGAGCACCCACATTCCTTCGGTATACAATCCCTTGCATTGATTCAACACTCTGGGGAGTATTCGCCGGGCTCGCGCATGGTGCTTACAAGAATAGACATTCAACCGCCCCCACGATTAGGCGCCCACCCTCTCAGCCCCACTCCATACAAGGAAAATTTATATAGGTCCCCGGACTAAACAACATGGAAACAAACGTTTTAGTGTTAACAGCGTTATAGGGGTATCTCAGATCGAAAAAATTAAGTCTCAAACACGTGATAGTCCTCTCCCAGGTGTCTTTAAAGTCGTAATCAAGGTGTAACACGTACCCCAAAAGAGTGCGCGAGATGAAAACTTACAAAGTAGGCGACCTAACATCGATGTAAACTCTTGCGCATTCGGTTTTTTCAAGGTTAAAGCGGTTCCTCACTTCTACCACAACGTGCCTGCCAACCAAGGTATATCCGCCCCCGCACCTACAAACTTGCGGCTGAACCTGGCACTGACTTACAGTCGTGACAAGATCCTATCCGGCAGGCATCGAAGCCGCTGCCCAACTTTGAGCAATTCAACAATGACGCAGCTAGGCAGTGGCACGAGCGAGTTGAGTTGAGCGCCGAACAATACTCAACCTTGGAAGTAGCGCAGCATGTACGGGCAAGCGCAACAGGTCCGATCCAAAACTTTGTGAAGCTGCAGAGTACGCCCACGTAATCTGCGGAAGAAATGTTGATGTGGCAAAACATAAACCCGATACATCAAGCCATCCAAAACCCCAACTTCCCACCCCCCACCCCTAAGCATCCCTAAGCATACTAGCAACCCCCGCCCAAGTCTCCAGCACAGTCGGCCTGATCTGATTCGCCGGCAGCGTAAACCCATACGTGCCCTTATCCCTCAACTCGTACGTGTAAGAATACGTCGCATTACCCGTGACATCAGTGTAATCGGTCGAAGAACCAGTTGTAGCATAAAGCGTCGCGCAGCTGGGGCCAATGGTGTAAGCGGTACCGGAGACGGCGCGGATGGCGGACTGGGCGCGGGTGGCGATGGAGCGGTGCTGGGCGTCGTTTTCGGCGCGGAGGGTGCAGTCGTAGCCGTAGGGCCAGAGGATGTATTGGCCGTAGGAGCTGGGATGGGGTTAGCTTGGTTGTTTGTTCGTGTTGAGAGGGTTGGTGGGAGATTGGAGACGTACTGTACGTCGAGGTAGAGACGGATACCGCGCGAGGCTTTGAGCGAGTCGACTTGCGCCTTCAGGCCGCGGAGCTCGGGGGCGTCGCCGGCGGCTACGCCTTTGTAGGTCTCTGAACAGGGGTTTGTGGATGCTCCGCCTGTGACTTCCCATTTGTAGGGCCAGTTACCTTGGAGAAGCGTTAGTTATCTGCGATGAGGTGGAAGTGAAAGAAGGCTTACGGTTGATGTCACGGCCAACACAGCTGTTGCCGCTCACAGTCTGCCTGTTCTTGCGCCAGAGACGATCGGTTGTCTGGGAGTAGACGAAACCATCTGGGTTGGCAATGGGTGTAATGTAGAAGTCGAATTTGTCGACGAGGGACTTGATGTTTGCGTCTGAGCCATACTTGGTGAGCAGTTGCCACGCGAAGTACCTGTTTGGTGTTAGCAGATGAATTCAGAGTTTCATAAGAGCTGACATACTCGGTGGTCATGGAGGTAATCCACTCTCGTGCGTGGACGTTGCCGTGAATGATGACGGCAGGCTTGGAGCCCTTTCCACCACTACCCCAGATGTGGATACCAGTCAAGGCTCGTCCTTGGACAGAGGTGCCGACTGTGACAATCTCAGACTGGCCAGTGTAGCCAGCTTGTAGATCCCGAAGGAACTGGATGTGGTCGGCATAGGGGTGGTATGCAGTGAACCAGCTTTCGCTAGGAACTGAACACGATTAGTCAATGTCATCGCACAAACGAAACTCTTCACAAACCAGCATAAACGCTCATCTCTCCCTCCTCGGCAAGCGCTGCACCGACATCCTCGTTCAGTACCTTGCTCTCAGCCACCAAGGCAGTCAAGGCGTCGACGTTTTCGGGTGAAACGACGACATCCAACTCAGCGGACGTGCCGGGGTTGAGGATGTGTGCAGCCAAGCTCTCGATCTCTGCCTTGACAGCATCGGTGCTGGCTACACGTAGTACCTTGAAGCCATTGTAGTCGACCTTCTTGCCAGCCCTTGGGACAACAGTGGCAAGCGCCGTGGAGGAAAGAAGGAGCGCCGAGGTAAGA